TTCCAGTTCTGTATAGAGCCTTGTATTGTTCTGTCTCTGTGCAGATGAATGTCAGTGTGGATCTGCTTTAGCAGGAGGCTCATGATGGGAGGCAGACTGCCTGTCTTTATTTCCAGAGTGAAAAATATACCGAAGATCAGGTGCAGTTTTTGAACCAACACCTGAGATTATACTGCAGCAAACTTCAGCTACCAGCAAGACAAAAAACACTACAATGGGACACATAATAACTGGAGAGAATCAGAACTATAGCTAAATTATTCGGTATTTTGTTCGTATGTGGGATGGGGAACATTTACATGCATGTTCCCAAGGGGCCCATTTTCTCTAATGTTTTGTATAGAGCTTTTTAGTTTATAATATATATCTGCAGATGAATGTCAGTGTGGATCTGGTGGAGCAGGAGGTAGACAGCCTGTCTTTATCTCCAGAGGCAACGTTCAGCTGCAGTTTTTGAACCAACAGCAGCATCTGAGATTAAAGTTCACCTGCAAAAGTCACTGAGGAGACTTCCAGCTAGAAGAAGAAAGACTACAATGATACGAAGATGACTGCAGAGAATCAAAGGACTGAAGAGATGCAAAATGACTACAAATTGACACGGATGCATCTTTTTTTGGACCGGGGATCTCGCTTCTATGTTGCAGGGGTGGGACACATTTTACATGTTTGCGCCCAGGGGCCCATTTTCTCATAATCTGTCAATGGCGAGGCCCCAGTGTTACCAACACAGACACATTGCAACATAACAAGTGACCTTGAAAATGAATTTCAGTCTCACCTGGATATCATTACAGAAAGCCAAAACACACACAATAGCCATTTCCCAGAGCTCTGAGTTTCATTACACATTGGTTTCCTCACTTTGATTTTGGCAGGCTGTGCATGTGCCCTTGATGTGATGAGAAATGTGAATTTCTACACAGGACATGTAGCACTGTGCTGCCCTCTCAGAATCACTACTCCCTCACAGTCAGGATTTACATCCCACCTGAAACATTTCACTCCCTCTCTCTCCTCTCGGCAGCTTGGTTTTCACATACTCCCTTGCACATGAGCAGGCTAAAAGCACTATCATTACTCCATCAAGCTCTTAAAGAGCTCGATCTGACCCATTAGAGTGGGCTGGTGGGAGTAGGGTTGTGAAATAATGATCACTGAGAATTCTATAAAAAGAAAACTGTTGCGAGCATTTGTTAGTCACAGCGGAGGAGCGATTAAGGCAGACTGATTGAAAGTGTCCCAAGTGAGCGGACGTGTCAGACTGTGAGAAAAGTTTCTGCGCGGGGCGTAATGGGCCAAAAATCTGCTCCGCTTGGCTCCTCTCCCTCTCCTCCACTCCGAAGCGCTCTGCTCAATTAATCCGGAGCCTCCAAATGACCCTCGAAGGTGACTCGCTAGATAAGTGCAATTACATTGGAAACAAGGGTGCTGCCAATTAGTCCTGAAGACTCCCTCCATCTTTGCGGAGGAGGCTGAGCACGTCCCACCGGTCGGCCTGTTTGTGACTTCATTAGCACCGTTCTAAAAGGGGAAATGAACACCTGGCCTAGATCCCACCTCTGTGCGCGGGGATCAACACTGCATGGCATGTGTTTGTTTTTTAGACGACGTTGAAAGAGGAAAATCCTGGAAACGATGATGTCATTTTAAACTAGGGCTGAAATCAAAGGTTATCATTAGGGATGCACCGAATATTCGGCAACCGAAAATTATCGGCCGAAAATGGTTAAAAAGGCCCTTTCGGCTTTCGGACGTTTTTAGCACCGAATGTCAGAGAACAGGGTTACGTTGATCATACTCCGCATATTTGTTCGGGTGTTTTGATTTCAAGTGGTGGAGTAATCCCGAAGTGGTGAAAGTCTTTGCAGTTACACCCTCTCGAGAAATGTCAGCTGAACAGGTTTTACAAAGCGCAATCCGCACCTCTTTCTCTGATATTTTGAAATATCTCCAAGCGCCAGACATGTTGGCTGTGAGCCAGCCGCGAGCATGGTCGCGCGCCGTGCTTGTCGCCGCGTTTTGATTACGTCATCACAACAACACATTAGGTTTCCAAACTTATAGGTGCATTTGTTGTTGTTGAAGGCCTGGCTGTTATAGTCTTTATTTACACTATTTTGTTGTAGGCCTCCTGGCCTAGATGTTTATGCAGTTTTAAAGCACCTTGGCTTTGTTCTGAATGCACTTTGTTGTAGTTATCCTACAGAGAAAAGAAAATGCACTTGACTTGGAATTAATGTACTGTATGCATTCAAAAGTGCTGAATAAATGTTTTATGGACCCATAATAGTGATTATTATTTAAGTTAAGTTTTGCCATAATCATTTATTTTTCCATAATCAGGTAGCTGAACAACATTGGTAAAAAAATGTATACATTATATATATATATATATATTTCTATTAATAATTTTCGGCCTTTCGGTTTTCGGCCAACTGTTTCCTATTTTCGGTATCGGTTTCGGCCAAGAATTTCCCATTCGGTGCACCCCTAGTTTTTTATATATCTGAGACGTATAATAATGCATAATAGGAGACATTTCAATTGTGCAAAACCATGAAGAGCTGCTGGCAGAACATGATGACAGTAGAGGGTGTTGTGTGCAGGGTTTCGTACCGTGATGTTCTGCAGGTCCAGGTGTTTGTTGTGCACGGTGTCGCACTAGCTTCCGGATCTTCTCCTTTATCTTGGCGATCTCTCTGGCGCTGAACTGGGCGTCGGGGTCGGACACGGCGCCGGGCACCTGGTCGTGGTCCATCTCCAGCCTGTTTTTTCGTTACGGTTAGAGAGGTATCCGCAAAATCTTTTATCGAACGCTTTAGGTCGCAGACAACAACTCTGCGTACAATTCTCTGTCGTAGTGTAAACAAGTCGGCCTTAGTAGAGGTGTCGCAGATGGTGATGACAATATTACAAGAATTCAAGTATTTAGATTAGCCTATGTAAATACTAATCTGTTTAATATTTCGTCTTACGCATCTACTACGAGCGGAAGAGCATCGAGGCGGAGGAGATAACAAATAATGAGCCGGATGAAGACAACGCAGGTGCAAACAACTCGAACCAGAGAGGTGGATGAGGAGATGGACACAACGACAACGAAATTTCTGCCACAGAGGAGAAACCCTTGTGAGCAAACCGCGCTAGACAAAACCTGGCAACATTAATGTCAGTTTCAGATCTGGGGCTTGTATCTCGCGGCGGGAGAAAAAGTGCTAGATAAAAGATCCTTTTTTAGTTTATAAGCACAAGTATTATACCATAAGGAAAGAGAGGGTGGAGACGGTAGGCCCGTAAACTATGCGTCGTAAAAGACTTGGATAAATACTACGAGAGAGAGGCATCGAAGGCGCGGAGAGAACAAAATTGAGCGGATGAAAACTAGGTGAAACAACCTCGACCAGAGACACAGAGAGGTAGAGATAGAGAGGTCACATGACAATGAAATTCTACACATTATTGTAGATTTTCAGATTGGGACTTAACGTCTGCTGGGAGAAAAAGTCTAGAAACAGATCCCTTTTTGGAATATAAGGCCCAGTTATGGCCAAAGAGAGGTTAGACACGACTACACACACACACACACACACACGTCTACAACTAATCGGACCGCTGCGCGACACGTTACGGGTCGAAAGTCCTACGTGGACTCCGGTCTCCTTCCACGAGTCAGAAGTTTCTGCGAGTTGCTCGGGCGGTTGTGAGCCACTCCTAGTCTGCTGTGTGTGGACGTCTTGAGAGGTAGAGAGAAGGAATATGATTCTAGGACTAGAACGTGTAAAAGCTTGTGAATATTTGTGAATATTTCGAGGAAGAAATTAAGTCTGACTTGTATATTGTCCGGTGAGATAACTTTCCTGATAACATTTGATATTAAATTTACAGCAGGGGGGGGGGGGGGGGAGGACACTCGTCTTTCGGACGAGACACGTGCGGTGCCGACTACATCAGTAGACTCAGCCTGGCAGACTTGTACTGGACCTAGCTAGGACAGACCTTCNTAAAAAATGTATACATTATATATATATATACATATATATATATATATATATATATTTCTATTAATAATTTTCGGCCTTTCGGTTTTCGGCCAACTGTTTCCTATTTTCGGTATCGGTTTCGGCCAAGAATTTCCCATTCGGTGCACCCCTAATTATCATCCTTAATCTGCAAAAATATACTCTAGATGAATGAATGCACTATAACATTTCAGAGAATAGCGAAGAAAGTCCGGATGTCCAATATCCCAGTTTCAAAGAGAATGAAAGCCCAAAGGGATCTCTTTGAATGGAGTGTTTTGTCACTCTAAAACCAAAAAATATTCATTCAAAAAAGTCCTCCAGCTCCATATTTGAGAGGCTGAAAACTGTGTTTTCTGACATTTTTGAACAATAAATTACAAATCAGGAAATAAATCATGAAAAAAATGTATCATTTCACTTCAGAAACACTTTGTTATATTCCATGGAATGCTCTTAACATCCCAATAATAATGAATAAATGATATGCTTTGACAATAAATATATACAAATATTTCATATTTCATTTTTTTTGGTTTTGTACTTTCACATTCAAGCGCACTCAAACTGGTTTCTCCCTTCTTACCTACCCTACCTTTCATATTACAAATGGCTTTAAATCATACTTTAAATCTGTTCCTTTTTTTATTATAAAAAGTATTTATACACCATTGTTATTATTACTATTATTCTATGAAGGTTAATTTGCTTTAAATGTTGTATTTGATATGCAAAATTCAATTAATTAAATTTTTCTATTTTCACATTTCAGGCATACACTGTACTGAGACATGTTTTTTTTGTATACTATATGAAAACGAAGTTTCCTTGGTATTTCAACAAAGTAAAGTATGGACAAAAGAAGACAATCAAAGTTTTGCAAGCCGTCCACACATTAGTGATCTCTGCACAGCCAGTCGACATGCTTTCACTTATTTTACGCAGAAAGACTCCGGAAAGGCAAACTGATGTATCATCATGCTTAGAAGTGATGATGGCGGTGATGATGATGAGGATGATGATGATGACGATGATGATGCATCCAGTGACAGCAGAGAGGAGGTTTCACTCCTCATCCTTCCTCTCTCTAATGCCTCTTTGCTCGTCTCTAATTGCGCCCCCATTGTTCCTTCCTGAGCAAATTGTTAATGAGAATTTCCTGCTATGTAGACGTCAGGGGCTCAGTCACTTGTTGTCTGCCAGCGCGCAGCCTGTGAGTAATGGGTGTGACTAATGCTGCTTGGCAGCTTCCACTCTCGTCCCTCCCTGCCATCTGTCCCCTGCCACCCCTCTGGGTGCACTGGGGTGCTCTCAGCAGGTCTCAGTAATCATACACACACACACACACACACACACACACACATGACATGCACAAGCAATTCCAAACATTTGACATCATCCAAAAACTGCATGAAGGATGTTTTCCAAATCTGTGGGTTTCACACACACACCGTGCGTTCTGCATCATACGAGTCACCTTCATAAGTTTACCAACTAATTATTTTCTTTCAAGTCTGCGTTCACAAGAACTATTTTGGTCTGTGGATTGAGTGTGCATGTTTTAGGACTATAGAAAATCACTTTTTAATGCATCCAAGGAGAACAGACCTCTTCTTTAGGATAAGACATGGAGTAACTGGGTCACATTACAAGCTCCACTTTGGTGGAATCAGCTTCCAGTTTGTGTTCGGGCGGCAGACACCCTATCGTTTTAAAAGTCAGCTTAAGACCTTCCATTTTGATAAAGCTCATAGTTAGGGCTGATTAGATTCAGCCCCTAGTGTTGCTGCTATAGGCGTAGACTGTCGGGGGACACCTTACTTCTTCATTTTCTCTGTAACAAAGTACTCTGATGTTCCGAATAACCCAGCTTCCCCCAAATGTCTTTTTGGTGTCTGTCTACGCCGGGATCCTGAGTCGTGACTGAACCTGTCACTGTGGTCCTGCCTGACTCTCATCATACTACTTCTCTGATGGCTCCCAGAGGATTGTTGACATCCTCGTGGATTCATCTTCTTATTATAGACACATGCATTTTCAAGCATTTGGACTACCTATGTTGTAATCGTATTATCTTCTTAATTTACACACGGTATCTATTGCACGTCTGTCCGTCCTGGGAGAGGGATCCCTCCTCTATTTGTAAATAGATCCTAAATCCATTCGATTACACAAAAGGTTGAATGTGTATACTGTAGGATTACTTAAAAATCAGAAATATATCACCTTGTACTAGAAATATTGTGTTCAATGCAAACTAAATTAATTTCGCATTTACAGTTGGTTGATTAAAATAACCCTAAAAACAGATCTGGCTCAGACGTACTGATTGTATTCTACGACACTGTTTTAATCAAAGCCTCATAAAACACAATAGGAGCAATTACTCGTATAATGTTCATCTTTCTTAGTTTCGTAATTTAAAAACTGCTATAAAGACGTTATCAAAAATGGAATTAAGTATGCCTTGCCAATGTATCTATAATCTAAATCTAATATTTTGTATCTGATTACGTTATTCCGATAATGTGTCATTTCTCACCACCTACGCTTAAACTCCTCTAAATGTGTGGGAATAAACAGACCATCCATGTGGCGATGCAGTGGCAAATGAGATGTGTGAGTGAGAGTGGAGGATAAATGTATCCAGGATGTCCGTGCTGGCTTAAGATAGGGAGAAGAGTATGAATCTCATTACAAGGGCCCCTGGACCTGCCCTGCAGCCAACTGAATCACTCTGAGTGACTTTAAATTGGTGTCCAATGAAGTAGGAATTGATCCTTGGCCCTGCTCTGGTTCTCCGAGGCAGTTGGGACTGTAATCTTCTCAAGCTGCAGCTCCACTGGCATCTGTTGAGTTTCCGTACAGCCGATGTAACTTTGTAATTGGAAAGCGATTCATCTGCAGAGTAAAATATTTGCCTCTCTGTTGGCACTAGAGGTGTTGACTGATTATTTCGTTAATGCTATCTTGATTGTTTATGTAACACACTGCGGGGGAAATCAGAGACAAGCTAGCTTCTGATTTATTTTTGATTTGAAGTGTTTCAAATGAACGTAAATAAAATACATACTTATATGATCAGCATGTACAACTAAATGAGAATAAGGCTGAGGGCTTGACAATGCAAGGTGCACTGCTCCTGGTATAGTGGGAGATATCTCTGAATAGCAGAGGCACATTAAATGATAAAAGCCTACTAATATATTAAAGTTAGAATTGTAAGGTCTCAGTGTGCATCCAACATGACAATCGGTGCAGGTATAAGTCACCGTATGTTCATAAGTTGTATGTGTGTGGTTGTAAGGATTTAGTTGCTTCTAGTGTACATTATTCAGTGCAAAAGTGGTTAATTATTTAAAATCAGCCCCTAACCATCACAATTGATAATATCGGATTTAGACAAACAAGGTTGACCTGATATCAATACCCTATTGAAACCCAATAGAGATCTTGTTGAAACGTTCTGAATGCAGCCACTGAACCAACATGTTGTATGTATTCAGGGTTAAAAGCAGTGAATGCACTTGAAAGCTACATTGAGGCCTCAGAAGGACGATGTTAAGAAAAACAATGTTGCAGACAGATACAAATACCATGAAGATGCTGGAACACTGGATCTGATGTCTCACTAACTGAAGGTTTGAATTGAGATGCTTGGCCAAGGAGAAACAGAAGATGAGCAATACAAACGAATACAAGTGTGCATCTGTATTGTAGGTCACCAGCTATTCTGTAGCTCAGCCATTCTCCATCCGTATTTATCCTAAAGGTAGTAAGCTTATCTATCTGAAGATGAGTCATATCAGTGACTCTACTAATCTTAGTCAAAACAATCTATGAAACACTTTGTATCGTCACCGTTTCATACTTTCTATCTCCTTGATATACCAGAGAACTCCAGTCAGACCACCACTTGCACAACAACACACACTACAATATCACTGTGGTGTAATATATACTATGGAACAATGATATTACTGGCTGCAATAACTTTTTTGTATCACTACCGAATACTGTTACTATAAAAAGATGTAAAATAACAACATGCAATACTCTATTACTTACAGTCATTTAGCAGCGAGTTCATTACTTTCTATTTGTTCCATTAAATGTGTACTTGATTGATTTGTATCTTATGTGACTATATTCGGTGAGAATGACCTTACACAAAACAGATACGGCATGTGACCTAAGACCTACTGAATGGTTCCCAACTTTAAAAAGGACAGTCTAATGTCAAAATACAGTGGGGCAAAAAAGTATTTAGTCAGCCACCAATTGTGGAAGTTCTCCCACTTAAAAAGATGAGAGAAGCCTGTAATTTTCATCCTAGGTATACCTCAACTATGAGAGACAGAATGGGGGGAAAGAATCCGGAAAATCACATTGTAGGATTTTTAATGAATGAATTGGTAAATTCCTCTGTAAAATAAGTATTTGGTCACCTACAAACAAACAAGATTTCTGGCTCTCACAGACCTGTAACTTCTTCTTTAAGAGCCTCCTCTGTCCTCCACTTGTTAACTGTATTAATGGCACCTGTTTGAACTCGTTATCAGTATAAAAGACACCTGTCCACAACCTCAAACAGTCACACTCCAAACTCCACTATGGCCAAGACCAAAGAGCTGTCAAAGGACACCAGAAACAAAATTGTAGACCTGCACCAGGCTGGGAAGACTGAATCTGCAATAGGTAAGCAGCTTGGTGTGAAGAAATCAACTGTTGGAGCAATTATTAGAAAATGGAAGACATACAAGACCACTGATAATCTCCCTCGATCTGGGGCTC